CCAAAGTCTCTGCCATGTTCCTTGGGGTGGCCTATAGGGTTAGGTTTCACCCCACACCGATTGCTACAAGCAGAAAGTGCATCCACTGCAGAAAGTACAGTGCAGAAAGAGTAATAGTGACAACTGGCACGAGGTTTCAACCTGCAAGGTCAAGACAGCCAAATGCTGATACCGCTTCAAGAAGGGCTACATTGAAAAGGCAGGCGGAAAGAGAACAACAAAGAATTGCATCGCAATGCCAAGCAAGGCACGCACAGTGTTAACATACCTCTTTTGGACACGTCGATCATGGAGTCCCCCTACGAATTGCACGCAGCAAGTGGACGATAGGTGTGTCTTAAATTGCGGGGGAGTCCCTCTACAATTCGAAGTCTACACCGGTGCAGCCTGCTCTTTGATTAGCGAAGTGGAATACAACCTACAACCGAATGCGGCCAAACATTCCCCGGAGTTGTCAAAAAAATAACCACTGGGATTGCGCACCACGTCGAGAGAAGATCTATGTGTTCTAGGCTCTGTGCAAGTTTGCGTCTGAACTTGACGACGAAACTGCTGCTGTCGTAACTGTCAACACCACCAAGGGACTGTTCAAGGTGAAACAGCTTCCGTTTGGAACTTACGTTGCACCGGCCATCTTCCAGAGCATGATGGCTACCACACTGGCCGGAATCCCTGGGGTGAGTGTTTACCTTGAAGACATCATTGCCAGCGGGAAAGATGCCCTTGAGCATGCAAAACGTCTAAACCAGGTTCTAACAAGGCTGAGCAAGGCATGCCTGTGCCTCAAGGAAGAAAAGTGCCGCTTTGGCATACAGCCGGTTGAGTTTCCAAGACTCAGAATTAATGCTAATGGTCACACACCACTGAAAAGGTGCAAGCTATCCTTCAGGCACCCAAACTAACCAACAAAACAGCTCTTCCAGCTTTCCTCGAGCTTCTCGCATTCTACGACCGTTTCTTGGAAACTAGAGCGACTGTTGCCGCAGAGCTGTACAAGCTCGCCCGTTACGATGAGACAAAGCCACTTGTTCTGTCGGCAGATGTGTCACTGTATGGAATCAATGCCACGCTTGCCCAGGAAAATGAAGTTGGCAGAGAGGCTCCCATAGCTTTCGCAATGCTAGCCCTGGGGCCTGCAAAAAAGGTTACTTTCAGCTCGACAGTTGCTTGGCCGTAATTTTCGGTGTAAGTAATTTTCATCAGTACATTGCTGGCCGACAAGTGCCCGTTATAACAGATCACCAACCTCTTCTCTTCAGTCAGCAGGCTGCCGCTTCTGGCACAGGTCTACGAGCCCTGTTCCCCGGCAGACATTCTCATGTTAGCCTCCACACCAAGATTCAAACTGTCGCCACGTCAACTCGCAGATATGACCTGACACAATCCAATATTGTCGAGGGAGTTAGCAGTTGTTTCATGGGGACAACTACATAAACTGCCAAAGCAACAGTTCTCACGGTACTGCAAACTCGGAACAGAGCTTTCTGTGCAAGAAAACTCTCATCAAAGGCTCCAGAGTGGTCATTCTCACAAAGGTCAGGAGGGAAGCGCTCGACCTGTCACATACAGGTCACAGAGGAGTAGTAGCCATGAAGGCACATGCATGAGGTTATTTTTTGTGGCCCGGTGTCGACAGTGACGTTGAAAGACTTGCTAAAAGCTGTGTAACTTGTCGGCAGCTCTAGAAGGCACCACCCAAGGTGCCCTTCCCCGACTGGAACCGCGCGACGAAACTTTGGCACACAATTCTCGCCGACTTCGCCAGCCCCATGGAAGGAAAGATGCTACCACTTGTTGTCGACGCGTACAGCAAATGGTTAGAAGTATGCAGCATGCTCAACGTACAGTCAGTCAAACTCAATGAGGAATCGGGGAACCTTTTCGCAACTTTTCGAATCCCTGAAATGATTGTGACGTAGGGCCGTCCTTTGTTTCGTCATATGTCAAAGCCTTCCTCAAAACAAATGGGGTCACACATATTACAAGTGCCCCGTACCATCCCGTTAAAAATGGACAAGCAGAAATAATGGTTTTGGAAACGAAGCAGGCATTGGCGAAAAACCAGACCGGCACGTTTTCATGCTGGTTGGTAAGATTCCTGCTAAACAGCACACAACAGTCTCCACCTCGACAGGCAAGACAGCAGTCGCGCTCATACGCCTACAGCCCCATGAGACTGAAAGAATGGCGTCCGACTGCCGTGCAGAGAAGTCATTGAGAGGAGTTGCCGTAGCGCAATCCATTCTCGCCTGCAACTTCAAGGGAAACCCTGTTTGGATGGAGAAAACAATAACGAAGGGATTAGGACACGGGTCTTGGATGATAAAGTGCAAGAACGGAGCGGTTCGTCAAAAACTGGATCACATTAAACCCGGTACACAGAAGTACCAGACAGAGAAACCTTCATCAGCGCCTTGTCCCGTCCTTTTTTTTTCTACTTGTCCTTTGCACTCTTGTCTCCTATAATAGAGAACCCTTCATCCGGTGACATGAGCAGGGAACCGGTACCAAGCCAACAACACACATTACTGGCTCTGCATGTTCTACAGCCACCACCGGATACCCTCGCCTCGTCCAGGAAAGGTCGACAAACTACGCCCTAATCTCAAGGAAGCGCATCCACATGTTCCGACTCGAGAGTCGCAGCGCCTTCCAAAGAAGGAGAAAACAAGACAGCTGCGATAACAACTGCGGTGTCAAGATCCCAACGAGAAGGGTGGCCACCGGGGCTTTACGTGACTCCTTGTACGGAGGAAGGAATGTTATGTCTGCTCATGGGGGGGGGGGGGGGGAGACTGACGCTCATACACCTCACAGGAATGCACATAGAGCTGTCGTCTCACAAACCCTGCACCCTGTTGGAGCTCGAAAGATCGGGCATCCCGAGCCTTACGGGGACTGCGTCTGGTGGGGGAGAAGTGCACCCGGCCGTCTTCTTGCGAACTGGCTGACCCTCGCTGCCATCAGGTCTTCCTTCGGTGGCCTGTCGGTGCTCTGGTTCAGGCAGGGCGGGTCTGGTTTCTCCGCATCGAGCTCAAAGGCTTGTTTCAGAGACCCCATCTCCTCACAGACCACCACAGCCTGAGCCAGGAGCTTGGTGACGTAGCCTGCAGAATCAAATTTTAACATTAAGCATTTTTCCAATGGTAGCACTTAGATAACAATGTTACAATGCAAAAAAGGCAGGACCAAGAAACAGTGTTCGCGCTTAGGGTAATTTGTGTTCAGAATATTCTTTACAATGATAAACCGTAACAGGCATCAGTATTTTTTTTGTTTACATGCCCTGCTGTCTGCAAAAAGAAGTGTGCAAGGCTGACATCTCTTTCCCTCCTCAGCTATCCATTTTTTTTGCTTCAAAGAATAACCAGAGCCATCAATTAAAAAATAATAAAAATAAATGTGTATCATTTGTGCATAGATAACTAATTTAGTCTTCCTAAGAACAACAAAAAGATTCCAACCCACAAAAATGGTGAAGTTGAAAAAACGAAACAAAAAACAACAACCATGAAACCAATACAGAAGTGAAAATTGTACATCACAGAAAATGCACGAGTATGCCTCAGTAAGACAAATGCATGAACGAGAAAAAAAATCTCTGGTTTTGAACTGCCTGTCATGGTTCATCTAATAAAACATTATTTAGATACTCTCACAGTAAATACCGTACTCATGTATAAGCCATCCTCGTGCGTAACCTGCACCCCCCCCCCCCTTTGTGATGCAAAAATTCAACAAATTATAAATATCCCGCACCCGTGCGGAATAAAAAAAAAGTGGTTTATACATGAGTATATACTACATCAAAATGATTAGTGCGCTAAATATTATTTACAAAGTGTACATATTAGCTAGTCACTTGGTACGGAAATTGATCTGATAATGTTGGCATTAACTTGTAAGCATCACAGGTAGAAATGTTTTTTTTAGATTACCATATGTGGCCTTCGTTTTCTCGGGATGAGCAGCATGGTGCCCTTTCCTGGCTTTCGGGGACTTCAGCTTCCACTGCTTCTGACCGGCTTGGGTGGTGGCCTAGCGCTGCTCCCGGTTGCCATTTTCGTTATAGTGCAGCGCAGCTATGCGGGTCCTGCAATAGAAAATGTGATCCAACAAGGTATGGAGCAGATCCCAAAAGTGGTGTGTGCCTGCTCGCGGCCTTTGTCAGCACTTCACAATCTGTGCATTTTTAGGTTTACCCCGGCAGTGAGGATTGCTAGTCCCATGGGAATCTTTGTTCCGCCAGCTTTCTGTAGCAACGAATAATTTTATACTCTGTTCTATCTGCTAACAGCTACAGTTGTGAACTGGCAGTATGTTATAGCATAGAAGACACCAAAATATAATGTCAAATAGTGAGAGTTTAGTGATCCTTATGGGTCACTTCACAACAAAAGAAAATGGAGTTTTAGAAATTTTGTTTTAAAATGGTAAGCAGTGCATCAAAATGCATGTCACACACATAGATGGAACTTCCATATTTTGCTATCGAGCAACACCTCGGGATTCTTTTCTGCATAATTCATTCATTTACATACCTGGCAAGCATGCCTTTTGGGCGAAATGCAGCCCATTTTGGTGCAAAACCATTCAGCACTCTATGGAAAGATTCCAAAGCGTACGTCTGGGTGTGTGGTAGGTCCTTGAGCAAGGACTTGCTCGTCACCACGTCAACGAACCGGGCATGCGCAGGCGTGTCTAGAACAAAAAGAAAAAACACGACAAAGGTTTGCTGTGGAAAAATTTAGTTGATTCAGGTTTTGTATGTTCACCTAAAAATCTTTGTAAATATTATTGTATTATATTTCTTAAAGGCCATCTCCTTCGCCATTTACACTCTGTAGAACACTGAGAGATATGTGAAACACTTATTCACCTGGCACCAGCCATTCGCCTTCTTCGATGGGGTTGTGGAAGCATGTAGTATAGATGCCAGGGTGGTCTGTGTGGATGTTGACCACTTGCCTGGTCATGCTGCACCAGGCATCCACGAGAAGTTAAGCGTTGCCCTGGCTAGCTGCGGCACACCAATACAAGTGGTTCACTGCTTGTTGGGCCCAGTCAGCAATCGACCCGCAGTCCTGGCTCTTGCCTGCAGCATTGAGGTTCTTCTTGACGCCTGCAAATTGGCGAGTGCACAAAGTCAGCTGAAGTCTGTCTTTTTCCAATATCCGGTCTACAAGAAAACATTCACAACATTACACAGAACGCATATTCACGCTCTTTGTGAGAGATGCCTCAGATCATTGGACTTGAATTTAAGTTTATTATTTCATTTTGACTTTCTTTACCAACTGCCATGGCAGAACAGAGGCAAGCAATATGAGAGAAAAGGGCACAGTTGAAGATTGGTATCGCTGCATAGTTTTGCCCTATTCTGAACACAATCTGTTCGTAAAGCAAGCTTTAAATGACGATATAAACAATAATTACAATTCTAAATGTAAAGTAAATATGAATATAGTAGTGCTTTCTCTCAAATTTAAAACCACTTCAGCTTTTCTTTTGTAAAGCCCTACAATGAAAAAAATATCTAACATCACAACAAAATGTAAATGCCTATAGTTATTCTAGACAAACAGTAGTCGCCGACATACCAAGGACACCTTGTTAGAAAGGTCTCTTGTGTTTTACATTCACACTTGCTGACAAACTTGTCTTTCTGTCAACATGCGAAACGTTGCTCGAATCGAGTCAAGCGAAACATTGCTCGAGCCTAGCTTTCGCCAATTTGGCAAGCAGCGTAGAGTGGCGAAGTTGAAGAGGATCATAACATGTGATATTTACTTTTTGAGACGTGCCATACGTCGAAGTAATGCAGGATGGCCGGTTCTTTTTCCCGCATGTGTTTTCCGATGGAACGGTGCCTGTCGGTGGCCAGGGAGTGCACAGTGAGCAGGTTTTCCCTTGTGAAAGCAAGGGACCGCACAAGACCTTCCTTTTCCATGTGCCCGCTGCAGCGCACCACTTCGCACTGCAAAGTTTCCGTAAAGTGGCGCAAGTAGTTTTTCAGTTTCTGCAATGGTTATCACATATATTTTACATATTCAAGTATTCTGCCGCCTCGCATTTTCTGAACTATTTGCTTTCTAAATAAAATACCTTCTGACATCTAGCTTTGGACAGATATCTCATTTCACCGCTTGGCTCCAATTTTAGACCATTGTCATGTTAGTAAGACAGTGGATCAGATAGACCTGCTAAATTTCCTTCTGATATTTATAGACCTACACGCTGTTTACAAACAAGCCTGTGTTGGCCGACACCAGGTGTGGGCACAGTGTGTATGCAGAAACAAAATTTGCGTGAAGTAAAGCGTTTGCACATGCGCAGTGCCGTCGACAGCGCCACCGCAGCTGCGTGATGTCAGGGCTGCGTGTTGGTCTATAGGCACAGGTGCAGAAATTGATTCAAAGGACAGGATAGGCAGGATGACCATAATACCAGACATGAAATTGTAACTATTTCAGATAAACCCGGACTACAGACCCCAGCGAGCATTTTTTTATAATCACAGTGATTGATCAAAAGCCATGGAGCTCTGTTTCTTCCACAAGAGCACTGAATGATATTGCTCGGCCGCAAAATGTGTCAGTATAAATAACTAGGTGTAGCTGAAGGCTTCAATATGCATCTGATTACGAAGCTACTGTAAGGAGGTGGTAGTAATCATTCCTCACCTCTCCAACCTGAATTTGCTCAAAGTGCAGGATCTTGTTGACAGAGGGCACGTGCAGGGAATACGTGAGGTATTTGGCACTAAAGCCAGGAGAGTCACACCTCCCATCACCAGCGAGGTCGAGGGGCTGGTCACGGAGCTCTTCCATCAGCTTCTCTTGCTCGTCTCTCCACACCTGTGAAAATTGATACTAAAATGTGCGATAATGACATAAAAAGTGCAGTGAAACACTGCATCGGGAGAAACAAAAACATGTGAGATAATGAAAGAAGTGTCATCATATTCGCCTCTTCAACAGCTCTGACCAAAATTGCTCGCTGGTAGTTGAAGTAGGTCTTTTTTGAGAAGACCTGGATGTTCATCAACTGGAACAGGCGCAGCGTTCTGGTTGGGGAGGCACCCGTGAAGAGCAAAAGAGATATGAGGAGCAGGTTCCCCTTCCCCCTGCCGTTGATGTGCGGTTGGCTGTCCCAGCGGTTCGTGTGCCCTGCAGGGCAAGAGGTCCGTACCACGAGTAGAGTACCAACCCCCTTCGTGGAGACGTCGCAAGGGCTGTAGCAAGTCTTGCATACAGAAAGCAGCTGTTCGGGGCAACTCTCGAATACCAAGAACTTCCGCTCCTGGTACCCAGGTTCTGCACTTGTGAAGGTGTCCTTCCTGTAAAAGTTGTGAATATTTAGTGTTTGACACTCATTTCTGTGCTCAGCTATCAACAAAAAACAGAACATTCTTGCCTTACATTGACACTGCATATTTTTTTTTGGTGTCTATTTATAGGAAAAGTTTATGTCTACTTATGATTGTTAATCTAATTTGTAAAAAAATTTGCATCTCAGCTATATATGTAAGTAGATGCTTTGAACAGTGATTATCGGTGAAAACTAATTGCTTGGGGTTGTGTGAATGAATGGACACAAAAAAACACATACTATAAGGGCTGGAATTTTTTCTCGGCTCACAATACTAGAACGAGTTTTAAATTTAATTTACAATTTGTGGGCACCCTTATAAATTATTATGCTTCATGCTAACCATAATGCGGCAATGCTAGAAACTGGCAGTGTACTCTGTGTAATTACCTGTAGCGTTTTACTTTCTTTTTATATTGCTACCCTTCTCTGTGTGACAAAAACAATATAAGCATTCACCACAACGAAGGCGATTGGCTTTTGCTTTTTAACAAGGGTCATCCTATAACCACCAGTGGTTTCAAACATGATCATACCACTTGAACCTGAACAGAACAAATAGATATTGACTATCGTAGTGGCTGACTGACTGACCAAACTCTCATGTCCCTGCCCTTCAATGTCAGTGACTTCACTCACTCCAGAAAGACAGGGTATCCGACAATTGTCTAAATAAGAACGGCTCTGACAAAAATAGTCCTCAATTGGAGCAAATTGTTTCAGAAATCTGTGCTTGTCAGTTTAGACAGATTTTGTGCCTCCGACCACAGCGGATGCATGTTCATTTCAGTTGCGGCACACTTCCCAAATTTTCTTTTTGCTGTGGACCAATTTTAGATGTTTTATTTTGTAGCTACTGTAGTTTTCAAATGATAAATTAAAGGGACACTGACACACCCCAACAAATTTTATTTATGTTTTGCCAGGCGATCGAGTATGGTGTCAGAAGACTACCGAATCAATATTTTGGTACGGCGTCACGTATAATTTTAATGAAGTAAAAAAACAACAGCTCAAAACCGAAACCAAACTGGGGAGGAAGAATAGCTATAGAGGAGGAGAAATTTAAAAGGAGTCACAAGGCTGTGCCACTTTTTTTTCAATTGACGCTTTTTTTTTATCAGTCACAAAAAATAGATATCATATTTTTTGTCTATTTTTAGTATTTAGTTTGTGCTTTCGATGACCAACGACTTTGATTATCTTTGTGGTTGTGTCTAAACTACAGAAAACGGCACATCACAATGAAGAAGAGAGTGAGCACGACTCAAACCGGCCAGTTCTCGATAGGCAGTTTTCGGTCGGAAGAAAATCGAATTTCGAGAATTTCGAACAAATTGTGTTCTGGGTAGTTGGGCTCTAATATGCCATGGACAAATAAAAACCTTCCCTGGCATAAATACCCTGTCAGTGTCCCTTTAAGCACTTCCATGTTCCTATAATGTCTGTTTCAAGCGAAGGAAAAACCATAATCTTACCCAACACAGCTTTCTTTGATGAACGGCTCGTACGTGGGATCCTTGTTTTCGTCATCGTCCTCCTCCTCCTCCTCCTCGTCGCTGTCATCGTCGTCAGAAGCGCTGGGGACAGGGATCGATGTGCTGGCACTGATGGCTGTGTCACCGCTACCATCAGTCTGGACCCAGTCGCTGGTCACACCTTTTGCGAAGAAGTCTGCCTGTGTGCCTGAAGAAAGGGCACAGGTTTCAATATCTAACTCCTTATTCCGCCTGGGTTTGCGCAAGCTCCTGTTTCTGCTAAATGCACTCCGGCGCAAGCTCGATTTCTCAGCAAACGATGAACTTGAACAATACCTCCTGTTTGATCTGACAGCAAACAACACTTCAGTATGAAATAGAAGTTAAATACACAAAAGTTGAAGAAAACCCAGGGCTGCACATGCACACTTCGAATGTGCCGTTATATTTTGGGCTGTCATCTTGCATGAGTAAAGCTATACGCGTGACGCCGTGCACCTTGTCTGGGAATGGAAAGTCTAAGAGCTACGTCGGTGCTCCTGTGGTTCCCCCCCCCCCCCCCCCCTGACGTAATTACCTTGCGAAAAACAAGCTGGATGGTGTTTGTAAAAAGCATAATGGAGGGTTGAAATCAATGCGCTCTAAAACCAACACTGCCAACACCGTCCAATTTGAAGTTATCGCATTAGTTTTATTTCCGTCGATGAGAAAACCTTTGCTGATGTCATAGACAGCAATCGGCCAATCGTGGCAGGCCGACCGCTGCGACGCTATCGATCGCTCACGATTTCATTGCCATCCTATCGATAAAGCGCACAATATCATGGTATATGGAACTAATCATGCACATATTTTAATCGTTTTAATCTCTAATCATGCACATATTTTAATCGTTTTAATCTCTAATCATGCACATATTTTAATCGTTTTAATCTACCACGTGACGTCGAGTAGACTAATGAAGGCTGCTCCAGTTTCATGCCCCGAGTGGGCTAACGCGTCTGAGCTCGGAGTGGAGCGAAAGCTTGCGCTGGGAACCTCCTAGATCGATCCCCGCCATTTCGATCTGGATGGGTTTCTTACCGGCACGCGTTCGCGTGATCACTACTGCGTGATGCACGTTAAAAGCCCCAGGCTAGCGGCTCTACTGCACTGGCTAAATTTCTCATGTACAGCTAAGAGACCGATTACCCGTTGAGACGCATCTCCATAAAGGCTGTATAAACATACAGAGCAAACCAATTTTATGCCTACCGACGGTCTGCTTTCCCCGCCGAGGGTCTGTTCCCACGGAAGCGTTTCTCACGGCAGGCGGCTGAGGCGGCCTCGGGATCTCAGCAGACGTCTGAACAGCTGCGTCGTGTGTGGTTGCTCGGGGACCGCAACGGCAGCAGTCCTCGCAAGGCTCACGAGGTGCGTCGCCCTCGAAGCAGTACAGGTCATCCACCGGCTCATCACCCTGGAAAACCGAAACTTCTGATAAAACCTCTGCTGTAAATACCGTTCACGAAAAAAAAAAAAGCGCCGCTTACCAAAGTTCTGCTACGTTTCAGCGTTGTTTCGTTCGCTGGGGGGATGGTAGGCTTCGTCGCGGGGGGCAGTCGAAGAGTAGGAACTGCGCCCGGCTTCAGGAGGGCTCTCGGCAGCGTCTGCCCGGCATCACGAAGGATACTTCTTATACAACGGTAGTCCCGATTCTCGTCGAAATGATTGGAGCATACGCGCACGTCTGTCTTCCCAGGGTCTCTTCCGATCCTCCGACACCACTCACTCCTGAGTGGTTCCTCGAGCGGGAGGCGGTGATATGTGAGACTTTTGCCTCGGATCCGTAGACCTTTCAAGTCACGGTTCGGGCACAGCAGAATACAACACGCAGTCAGCATGGCCGGCGGGCGCGGCGGGCAGTTGAAGTCGAAGTCGAGGTCGAGACACCAGGAACGATAACAACACCACGATACTACGGACCACGACGAACGGACTCCGTCGAGCGAGGGAAAGACAAAACGTCCGGGTGTCCGGGTTGCTCGTGTAGCCGCCGTAGGCGCCTCGGGCGGCCTCGGGCGTCGACGGATGACGGCGACGGCAGGTTTTGTTGACTTGCGGTAGATGGCGCCACAAATAATTTATACCCTTTTAGTGGCAATATTAGGCTTTTGAAGCGTTTCTGCATGCCTAAACAACAAGATTTTTTAAACTTAACCTTAAATCAAGCTTACAATTGCCTAACACTATCACTTACAAAAACCACTCCGAATGACGTCACACCACAGATTCCATTTGCGGCCACCATGTGGCCGCAGGTGGAAAAGAAAGCGCTCTTTATTTTGCGATTACGCAGCGAAATAGAGGTATTTTGGGATATGGTGGCACTTTTTCTCTTACTTATGCCGAAGTAAACAATATAAAAAATACAACCTGCAAATTCGTTCAGTGTTAAAATCATTGCACCGCCCCTTTAAAGTATAGAAAAACTCGTAAGGATGCAGGCGAGTCGGTGAATATTAACCATGTTGAATATAATATAAGACTCTATAAGGATGTGGACTAAATAAACGAGTTATCTGAGTTTGAGACGTCGTCCTGTCTATTTTCTGTCCCTTCTACGTTTTGATGTTTCTTCTCTACCCCAGTCTCAGGTTAATTCAACATGGTTCTTAACGTATACTTTTTTTTGCACTTCCAAAAGTATGCTTGATGCTCTAAATTGGCCGAATTTTAGCATACTTCTAACACACTTGAAAAGTAACATTTCACCATCCTTTCAGAATACTTCGAAGCACACCTGTAAGAGGCGTTTTAGTATACTTCTTACGCACTTCGAAAGTAACATTTCGCCATCCTTTTAGGATACTTCTAGCACGCTTGTAAGCGGCGTTTAGTATCCATTTAGGCAATTTTTCAGCACACTTCTGAGCAGGATTTTAGTATGCTTTTTACGCAGGCCTTTAGTATTATAAAGTGTACCCCAGATTAAGCTTGGAAGAAGGCTTTCAAATATAATCCGGGGTACACTTAGTAGAACTTTTAAAGCATTTCACCAATTTATTCCTGACCAATTCCAGATAGGATATATAGAAAATTATATTGTTTTAGCGATTGCAGTAGTTTGCACTTATCGAAACTAAAATGCATTACGTTACAGGCTTTAATGTGGACGAAGACTTCAAAGTGGCGACAAATTAAAGTAAGAAGTTTTTATTAAACAAACATATTTTTGAAAAGAACGAACACATGTTGCCTCCAACGAACACACTTACGATGGAACAAGAAACATATGACTTTAACTGGCATAGAAATATCACAGATGCACTTAAAGCTTTAAACATGTTCTTATTAGAAGTAAAAAAAATTACAAACTATCATGCTCAAAAAAACGAGTAAAAACAGTATGGCGCCTGTTAAAATAAAACCGAAAATATTTATCATCTACCATGACTGAAGTAGCATCACCTACATGACTGAAGTAAAATTAATGAAAATTTAATGCACTTGTTGAATAAAATCTCAAATAATAATCGCTAATCAGATTGAAGAGAAAAAAAAGCCAATGCACAAAATAAATGAAAATGAAAGCTAATTCTTTCTCTCATTTTGTAGTTTTCTTCTGTGTGTTGGATGCTTTCTTGTGAGTGTAGGGAGTATTTCTGCACTTCCTTCGCTGGTATCCTTTCACCGACTTCTGAGTTTCCCCAGGAGATTCGACAATAACAAAAGCCGGAAAGGGAAGAGAATGGACAATTACGGAACTTGCCTTAAAACTTCATATTTAGCTAATACTACTTCATTATACTTTATGTCCACATAATTTTAGCAAATTTCACAAAAACAAATCAACAACAAAAAGTTAATCATCTAAATATATTGAGCACGGGGACCAATTACTATGTTTATTGGCAACTGCGAAATATTGCTGCTGTGAAATAATCTAAAACAAGGCATTTTGTCAATTTGCAATGCATTAAAGGGATCATGAAACCATTTTACTGTGGAAAGAGCCTGGAGCTCGTTACTTTTATTTCTTCTACCTTATCACAAATACGAAAAAACAGACCATGATCCCTCGAATTGTTGCGAGTGCGCTGCGTTGTCAGAAAGGAAAAAAAGGTCAATTTTCTATCATGCAGCTTATGGTAGCCACATGAACTACTGGCATGGCGCCAATAGTGGTTGAGTTTGAGAGTTGAGTCGGTATCTACCCTTTTTGAAGCTAAGGTTTTTATAAATGTTCTCATTCACTCATTTGGACTCCCATTCATGTCACACGCTTGTGACCTGGAGAGGACTTTAAAAGTTGAGGATCCCCCCAAACTTAAGTCTATTTAATTTTTTTAATAAAACTAGTGCACCTTGGCAAAAATTGTTTCTTGATCTTCACTGCACATGTGACGGTGAGCCACTGCCGCACTTACTTGGCCGAAGTCTGAAGACTATTTCCTAACCCGATTTAAAAGTGTACACGCATAGCATTTTTTGCGACAAGGACTCTATAACTTTCCGATATCAGCGAACAAAAATTTATTGTTATTGTTAGCCGAGGAGCCCCCTCCACTCTTGACATTTTTGCAATTGAGAAGTTGAGAAGCCTAGACGCCTTGTAAACAATAATGCAGATATATGGAGTTATCACAATGGTGTAGGAACAATTGAGGAAGTTCAGGTGCTGAGAGCATCCTAAGTATACTGTACAAGGAACCCTGTTTGAGAACCCGTGCTTCAGAATATTTGGCTAGAAAGTCGGAGATAGCGTAGGCTAGACAATAATTTTAAACACACAGCTGACCACATTTTGTTTTTAATTTTGATTCTGCCATCTTTTTATAATTCAAGATTTACTGATGCAAAAACAACTGAGGCCATACTGTACCAAACAGTTACTTTAAAAGCAACTGGACAAGCTGAAGGTTTTGAAACATTCAGCAGCCTTAAGCAGGGGTAAAAAGTCAGCTGTCTTCAGAAACTTGTACACAAAGGTAAACAATACTGAAGGTTCGTTAAGTTTAATCGCTGAGATACATCAGCGATCAAAATTAGCCGGAGGAATATAAGAGTGAATTTTAATATAGACAAAAATTAAATTATGCTAAAACTGGGGCACAGTATTGGAAACCGGAGGTGTAGCGCAAGATGTAATGGCACAAAAGGACAAATATCTCAACATAAGCACAAAAAACATTCATGGCCACCGAGGCACAAGTCCAATGGTAATCA